GGAGCTCAAATCCAGACATCGGGCATACGTCGTACCCCCGTTCGGCCCGTGAAGGTTTTTTCCAGTAAATTGCTAACTCAGGAGCCAGGAAAACTAGAAAGCTGAAATTTTAAGGGGGTATTTCCTACCAGTTCTGGCAACCAATCTTAATTAGTTTAGCTTGAGCATTCTGCCGAAAAAACCGATTCCGATAGTGACAAAAATTGCGGGGAACTCTGCAAAAAACGCATCTTCGCACGGGCAGCCCGTGCGTTGGCCAATTTTTAATCGTGTATTGATTTCTGCAGATTTTATTTTTTTTGTAACGCTAGGGCGGTTAAAGTATGTGCTTTGCCGCTTGAAACAGAGATAATTTTAGCAAGTTCTAAGTGTGTGCTGTAATTTCGTCTGCAGCTATGAGAGTGTTATCACTGCACACTTCACTTCACTAAATTTATTCAATAACGCTGATATTCAGACCCATTTCCCTAATTTGCATAGTGATCCCTCACAGCGATAGTACTGTCTTAAAATTTTTTAACAAAGACAAAAAATTCCAAAAATTTGAAAAAAAATGAATTTAAATTGGTGAAGAGGCATTTTTTTACAGAAACTAAAAAAGTTCTAATGTGAAAATCAATGAGTTTAGTAGCAGGCAGGTAGCACTAAAAGTTCTTATTCACACAGTCGGACAACCAGATCATGAGTTTTAACTGAGCAAAATGTTTAAGTAATTATTATTAAGTGCTTGAGAAAAAGCAGCTTGCTCGTGGAATAAACTATTTCATGCACGAATGTAAATTCTTGAAATGCTTGGCATTTATGTCAAGCTTATCGGTCCAAATTCGTCGCATATTTCTGGAAGTAAAACCAAACTTTTGAGAGATAAGGATACCCTTAATGGTTTTTATCATTGCTGATGATTTACCACTGATAAAACAAAAACCAGCAGTTCAAAAAAATGACCTGGATATAACAGCACCCCTCTTTCCAACCGCCTGTCGAAGGGCCATATTTGTTGCAATCGCTTCACTGATACCGTATAAGTTCTTCGTATCGTAAAATATATTTGAACGATTGTTAGTCTTCGCATACATGCACAGTGTTTTCGAGCAAAGATTCTAAATTTCATAGAATCAATTAAAAAATTTTTATGGCGAAAAATTGTCGATGCAATAGAAAACATAAGCAAACGGTCAATATTGATTTAAAAAGAGCATACTAGTTAAATTCATCGCGATTTATTCATACATTTGTATTCATTTGAATAACAAATCAAAAAATTATTATTTGTTAATTATTGTCTGATTATTCATCAAGCATTTATTTGTTAATGATTTATTAATTATTCGAAACTTGTGTTTACACCTAATTTACTACTTATTGACATATTTAAAAACCCGAGTAAAAGGAGACGAAATGAACGCCAGGTTATATAATGAAGCAAAGGTGAAGGT